TTTTTTTTTTTTTTTTTTTTTTTTTTTTTTTTTTTTTTCCGTAGACATCGAGCTTTCTCGAATAGACGTTATTTAAATAATAAACACATGTACTCGTTTGCAAAATGTTGACAGAAAATTTACCTTCGGGTTATTAAGCACGTTTACTTTTCATGCAAACAATGTTAGTCCATGTAGGTTGTGTACCGCTTTCCGGGAAAGCGTCTCATGTTTTTTCGTTCCAACCACCATTTCCATGCGATCTCTTCTAAAGAAAATTGAAGCTACAAAATTCATTCGTACATTTAATCAAGTTACCGATATATATATATGTATATCTTCAACAACTCCTTTTAATAAAGAATTATTTATTATCTCGCGTTTCAGTTATCTATTATTCACAGATCATTTAATCGTTTGTATTTATAACACGCCTCGTTAACAATACGTGTCTTTCTCGATACGTGTTTTTTTCGATAATCGCTTTCTCACAAAAGAAGTTTTATTTTTCTCTCCACCAATAATTCGCTCTGATTTCTACATAAGTAAGACTCGAGACGGGAGAATCGGCAAAGAATTCGCCTCATCTTTTTTCGTTGGCCGAGAAGCCTACAGGGAATTACGATGGCTAACTTCCTTCCTTCGTCCCACGAGTGAAAGTAAAACGAAATCAATCGGAGTTTTCAGCTCGAGTTGGATAGATAGTGGACACACGCCGGATGGAAGACGTCGTATCCTTGCCACGTATATTTTATCTCGCTTCCCTTTTTCTTCGCTCTCCTCTCAACGATTATTTTCGCCGAAAACAAGAGCTAGAACATTTAAATCTTGGCCATTTTTTTTTCTTGTCGTCGCAGGGCATTTCACTTTCCAACATCGAAATTGGCTTTCAATGGGTTCCGAAGAAGGAGAACGCTCGCGAAATCAACCACACCTTCACTGCTCCTTTCATGTCGCGTCACAAAAGACTATTGAAACGCTATTGTTCCTTGCACGAAGAATATTTTCCTGGGAAACAAAAAATTTCGTTTTTCCTGAAAAGCTCGTATTCTCTCTTTCTCTATCTTTTTCGTGTAATATTGTAATGTTATAATAGATGGAAAATTTAATCGTAAGCTATTACTTCTGGCACAGAATTTTCAATTAAGAAGAAATGTATTTCACAGTTTCGAGAAGAGGATGAAAAAATATTTCATGATATAATATATACATATATATATATGTATAAAGGGTGAAGACGAAGTACGTACACGAGATGATTTAATAAATTTTCGAGGAACACAGTGATAGTTGTCTTCTCGACGTTGGTTAATTATCTGTCAAGAAGAAGTTTTAATTAACAAGATCCTCGCCCGTTGGTAGAGAGTTATCTCAGAATTAATTAATAGGAAGCATGATATATTTAAGAAGAAGGTGCGTATATTTCCAAGATAACCTGGTGGTTTCGCAAAAATTAATGAAAACGATGACATTTCAAGCGAGAATGGAGAATTTGCCTGTTTAACGAGAATATACGGAGCCGTTTCGATACAATTTTTCTTTCGTTTCTCTCCTAATCTCTCGAAAAGTAAATGTACATACGTGTGTACACAGTAATTAGCGTTGTATCGTTATCGTACTCGATCTCGAAGTAAAGTAATTTTTCTTCCTTCTTTCCAAAAAAAAAACGATCGAGTTCGTAATAAGGAAACGTGTTTACTCGAGGAGCACAATACTCGATAGTTAATCACTTTTACCGGGACGCTCTCGTTTACAAATTTTACGTCCAGATTAGATGGATTAAACCTCGATGCTCCGCAGGAATACATTTGGTTGCGAAGGTGGTGGTGCACTAGTACCAACGCGGGGAGATTCACCTTCACCTAGACCTTTCTTTCACCATGTAAGAGGGGATTTGTATATAAAAGCTCTCTTCTGGGTAGCAAAGGCATCAGAGACCACAATTTCACTCACATACCCGTTCCTTACTCGACCGACAAACAACGTAGCGTACCGAAACAACACCTTGTTTAGAATCAACATGAGATCATTAGTAAGTCCATCACAAAAAATATACAAGTATTAATCGTTACGAGCTTCTACAAAATAGATCTCTCCAAACACCGACACTTATCCGATTTTCACTTTTCGTAGGTGATTCTGGTCCTGGTAGCCGTGGTGGCTATATCCCGCGTCTCGTGCAGAGAGCCGAAGGGGGACAAACGATCGTCGAGACTACCGTTCAAAGGGAAGCGCGGGATCGTCGAGTATTCCGGAGGATCGTCTTACAACTCTCCTCTCATAAGCTCCGGATACGGCGGCGGATACTCGTTGGGCCATTCTTCGGGTATCCAAAGTTTAGGAGGCGGCTCGATGGGATACTCCCTAGGATCCGGAGGACTGGGCCACAATTTCGGGGCCCAGGTTCAAGGGATCGCGTTGGGAGGGCAGCACTTTGGCAGCTCCCTCGGCGGCGGAGGAGGCCTGTTCAGCCCGCCGTCCAAGAACGGGCCGGTCACCTTTGGCATCCACGGAGGAGGTGGTTCTTCGTCTTCGGCCGGTTACTCGGCCCCCGTCTACGCGACATCCGGTGTCCACGGATTGTCG